CCTTATTAGCTGTGTATTTTTTCACTTAATTACAGGAACGGGTTTTGTACTAAACACATAAGATGGCAATGAAGTCATTTCACCCTCTGTGTTCTACGCAATCGACAAGTACATATGTTCCAACTGCGGCAGATTTTGTCTTTAGGAAAATTTTAAGGTTTTTTTTGTTTGTTCTCATGTCAGGATAGTTGGTAAAATATGGAATTAAGCAGATTTTCACATTTCCTGTAGTCGCTGTACTGAAGTTCTCGCAGCTAGCTTTCAGCTATGGTATTTCATTCTGTTTATCTAGACAAATTGAAATTTTTTGGTACTGAAGACAATTGGTACTTTTCTTATTTATTAATGGGCACGTGATGCGCTGGTAAGCGTACAAATTAGAATTTTTGGAAACTTGCAAATCTTGCAGAAAGAATCAAGCAAAAGGTCTTTTTTCTGATTCCGGTCAACTAGATCTTTGTTTAAGCCGAAATTAGGGAATTTCAGAGCATACTTTCAAGAAATCTTTTTAGCCAATAACATTTTCCTTATCAAGAGAAAATGTGTAGTTTTACTGTTGCTGTTCTTTGTTTTTTCAAAGAATAACAAAGTGTAGTCGTCAGAATGGAGCTCGTTGAAAGGCAAATTAGGATGTGTTGCTCACTTGAAGATATAGATGGGGAAAGTGCTACTTGATCTAGTATTTTTTTTTTTGGACTATTCTTTGTTTAGTAATTCTTAAAACGATGGAAGATCTTTTATAGGCAGGCAGCTGCAGCCATTTGCAAGCAAGCTGGATTCGAAACTGTCGAATCGCAAGTTTTGGAGTTAATTTCACACATGATGAATTCATGTAAGTTTGTCACATCTATCTAGTCCTGAAAATGAAAGTGATGGATATACGAAAGATCAGAATTTTTTGGAGAATACGCTTTTCACATCTTTTTGAGGGGATTTCCACTTTCAAAATAGTGTTATCGATATTTATAGCGAGTACTTTATGAGATTTTTATAGATCTGTTGGAACTTGGAATCTCAACAAGGCTGGTGACTGAAGTAGCAGGCAGGACAGTCTCTACACCAAGCGACACATTATTAGGGCTTATCGAGTTGGGGGCGTCAGTTATGGAACTACCGCCCTACCTAGCTAAATGTCGATCACAAGGAACATTTTGCATTGCTGCACGTCAGTTTACTTTCAAGTCACTTTTACGTTAAACATTTTTTTGCGCGATTTTTATTTTTTCATCTACTTGTATCTTGAATGAAATTTTCAGCGAAAGTTTCGAACCCTTCTAATGTACCATCACCTTTAAGAGTAGGGAATGCTCGGCCACACCATCCTCACATTCCTGACTCACTGCCGCCTTTTCCGGACCCACACACATACATTAGAACAGAGGTATTAAATCTAATTATTTAAGATGGGAGGATGAGGAGGCCTCATCCTCCTTGCTTCCTAAAAAGAATATTATTTTATTTATCGGTCATTAAGTTGTTAGTTTGTCTCGTTCTCCGGCACATTTAGTTTGATTCCATCTTTATGTGTATTATTTTAGGAGCAAAATTTTTAGAATTTCAAAAGTAAGATTGTTAGAGAATGTTTGTTAAAGAACCTGCTTTTAATTGTTTCACGTACGTTAAATGTAGCTTGTTTTTTGTTATTTTTTGTATGCTACTGACCATTCTTTTCTGGTTCTGTGAACCTTTATGCTAACTTTGTCATTCTAGATTGCTGGCGACCCAGAACTGACTTTTGAAAAAGTCAGGGAAGATTCAGCACTGCTGAAGAGGAATACAGAAGTTTCTCTTAGAGACTTTATGCTCCGGATTCACCCTTCCGTGTCTCTCTTTAGTGCATATGAAGAGCGAGTTCGGAAAGAGGCTGTAATGCAGGTGGATTTAAGATTATTTTGGATGATTTCTCTTGCCATTTATCAAGTTCTTTTTGGTGTTCTCAACGGAAATTGGTTAGTTTTCTTAAATTTTAGTTGGAGAGCCGTGCACGACAAAAAAAGGCGCGAATTAGAGGTCGTATGGCGCAGCTTGAGGCACAGCGTTTGAATCAGGAACTTAAAAATGCAGCAGATCAAGAAATGCCGGAGATTTTTGAGACTAATGATGAACCTATGCAGGTTAAAAATGCATAAAAATGCATAACTGCACTTTTTCTCAGCTTTTTGAAGAAATTGCATAATTTGTACTTGAAATCTAATAACGAAGCTTCTCTCGTGGCTCTAATTTACGTCATTGTGAATCGAGTTCACTTTTTTTTCGTCCTTTTGCAAGCACAGCAGCACAGTGGGTGTTAAAACTTTATTAGGCGCTTTTAATCTTTTTCTTATCACTTCGCTACTTCCTTTTCTTTCGACATAATTTTTTAAAGGCAGATGAAAACGAGTTCTCCGGGGATCTTGATGACTTAATCGCTGAAGAAATGTTTGAATTGGATGAGACAGAAAATTCTTTGGTTCGGCGAAAAGTTCCGGCTATATGTCAAAGTAAGTTGTAAGTTGCTCCTCAGTTTCCTCACAGAGTGAGTAACCAGTAGTAGGTGTGTGATATTTAGAGGTCATTAGAATAGTTAAATAGATATTTATTATTTACTTTTTAATGAAATGCAAATTCTCTTGCTGTTTAGTTTTGGAACCAAGCCTCGACAGCCGTCCTTACTTAAGCGCTTTGCTGAGTGATGAACTGGGCGAGGAGGGTAGCGATCAGCCAGCAAGTCCTACTGCACCAACTCCACATTCGGATGGCCACAACACTAGTCATAATGGTGACGACGAAAATACAACCGAAGGAAATCCATACCTTCGCCCTCCAAGAATTGCAGTTGTAGCGGAATTAGAGTCTATGGATTTTTAATTATTTTCATTCTGGTTTTGAAACTCAGTTGTTCTGTTTTGTTGATTATTTTTTCAAAAAAGAAATTATTCCTCATATTTTTGTTGCTTGCAATTACTTTGCCAGTTATTTTTGTAATTGTTTATTTTTTTCAGATTATCAACTTAATCAGCAGTTCAGGTCTGTGTTAGGTTATCTAATTGTTCTTTTTATTTTTCTGGTTCTTGCTGTGCTATGTTGAGGTTGTGTTGCTCAAATTTCTGGTTTTGGAATGGTATCACTTGGTAGCATTTACAAACAGCAGTCATTTTTGGAGAAAATTAACAAATTTTTCTCTAGCAGCAGTTCAGTTTAAGTCATTCATGTTTTGGTGGGTGTGCTTTTGTTGGCATTTTTTTAGTTTTCCTTAGTCTTTTATCTTTGAACAGGTTGCTCTTTTACGTATGAAAACTTTGTCGTATTCAAATTTTTTTGAAATAGGGAAAAGAAAACAAGTAATAAGAACTCAAACAACAGTTTATTATTTTAACAGATGTTCTTATAAAAACCAAAAAAAATTTTAGAAGTTTAAACTTAAAAAAGTGAGAGCTCTTCTTTAGCTACTTATTGTTATTAATTCTAAATTTAAAAGTATTATCGTCCAATGTTTAATGACCTTCTTTGATGTCCATTGCCACTTTTTCAATCTAAAATACTACCTTGTAATACGACTTGGAAAAGAACACCAAGAGTGATTTTTGATAGGTCATTTTCAAAATCAAAAAAGAAAAAACCTCTTTGTTTGGTAAGAGCAGTTTTTTCTGGATTACTTAATTCCTAGAGCTTTCTTTGTGGTTTTTGTAAAAAAAAGTGCAGACTACATGCGCAGAAACTCAACATTAAGTTGTTTTGAGTGGGGCTTCAGAACCGGCAAAGTTTTTTTCGACAAATACGGCTTCTGGAGAAAGTCCGGTGACTAAGTTTTGTTCTTGAAAACTTCAGCGTAAATTCTGACGTTTAACTGAAATTAAATTGCTCAGGAATGTCAAAAATGGTTTGTTACAGTGTCGCTTTAAAAGTGTTGATGTATTTGGTAGAATTTTCCTAATACTGTATATTTCTCTTGTTCAGGGAATTTTTTCGGTTTTTTAGAGTGATCTACTCTAAGTTAAAACTCTAACCTTACAGCAATGGTGATCAGTAATTGAAAGATATCAGTAGCTTTACTAATTTATTTTTTGTCTTCAATATTGATGCCTGAGATCTCAGTTTTTTTTTTTTTTTTTTTTTTTTTTTTTTTTTT